TTTCTCATGGTTTTTTTTTCAAAAAATAGTGGTTTAAAAAATGCTTCTACATTTAACCCTAAGATTTCTGGTAATGCTTTTCTGGAGGTATTTTAAAAAAATATGGTAGAAAATGAGATTAAGAGTATTAATGTTTAAAATTTGTTACTGTATTCCACCAGATATAAAATTGGGTTATTGAGGATCTTTGAAAAGAGAAAGAATATAGTAATTAGAAGTGCTGATAAAGGAGGGGGGAAGTAGTGTTGTATTGTTTTTTAATTAAGAATGACTTATGAAATGTATAAAAGAAATGAAGAGATTATTTACAATCTGAAGATACATATAAATATTGTTTGCAAAAAAATCCCACTAAGAAACTTAAATTACTACTTAAGTGTATTATTAACAAAGGAAAAAAGTTGGGGGTATATTAACTGAAAAAAGAAGCAAAATTTTTATAATTTGATCTTCTTTTAAACATCCGAAAATACCTACTAATAATCAACTATTTACCAAAAATACACAAAAATAAGGAGAACCCACCGGGGGAAGACACATTGTGAGTGTGGAATAAATTCATTTATTTGCAAGAGTTCTTTATTTTGGTGTTAGATGAATATGTTGATACCTTTTTTCTGGGAAAAACATTGTTATGACAAATAGGGCTTTTTCTGAGAGATGGTGGACATCTTATTAACATTCTTTAAAGAAGTTTGGAACATGATAATGTTTGTTATTTGTTATGTTGGTTACTATAGATGTAGAATCTTTTATATACTAACATCGATCAAAATGATGGAATTAATGCATTTTTTCAGGGTTTTTAAAATGGTAGGCCCTTAAACATTAAATCAACTCCTGAAACTTCGAGATCGCAGAGGAAATTTGTTGTTGAATTTAACTTGAATTTGCGATGAAAAATAACATTTTCTTTTGGTACACAACACTTTTTTTTTTTCAGCAATGTAAGGGTGTTGCCATGGCCCCCATGGGGAGCTAAGTATGCTTCCCCAGTGTGGCAAATCTGGTAATGGATAAATGGGAGGAAGAAAGTATTTTCAATAAATGGCCAGGAGATGGGCGCGCTATACAAGAGGTATATTGATGACATTATAATGGTATGGGATGGATCCAGAGAAAAGCTCGATTCCTTTTATGGAATTATTAATATGAACCGCGCTATGGATTGAGATTCACTGTTATGAGTGATTTTGAGCAAATTAATTTTTTTGGATCTGGGTTTCCTATATAAAGATAATGGCCAAATTTGTACCAAAACTTACTTCAAGGAAGTGGACAAAAACAGCTATTATACCTATTTCTAGTGGACATCATCCAAATTGGTTATATAGCACTCCAAAAAGTCAGTTTACCAGATTAAAAAGAAATTGTAGCGCTAACAAAGATTTTTTCGATCAATCTGAGGTGTTAATTTTGAAAGATTTTATAGAGAGAAAAGGGTATGATAAGACCTTTTTGATTAAAGAGAGAAATTCGATTAGTATTAAAGATAGGGGGAGACGTTTCTTGGGAAATAGAAAGGCTCATTTGGGATTTGAAAAAATAATGTACCCTTTATTACTAACTTTAATATGCAATACAAAAATATTTGAAACGAAATTTTTTTTAATTTTTAAAAAATATTTGGCCCATTTTGTTAAAAGATGATATACTAAATAAAATTCTTATCTAAAACTCCTAAATTCATTTATAAGAAAAATAAGTCTCTTAGGATGAAACTGGCTCGCAATGTCATCGAACCCCCAAAAAAGTTCGATCTGTTTCCAAATTTAGGTTTTGGGCGAGGTTTTTTTTTCCTTGTAGGAAGTGTAAAGTTTTGTAGGACTGTAAAAGTTGGTAATAATAAAAAAGAAAAGTCATTACTGCTCTTCATTTTCCAAAAAAGATATATGATATTAAATCCCCCTGATTATCATGTAATTCTACACATGTGATTTATGTTTTATGAATGTCCATGTCATTTGAGATATATTGGGAGAACTGGGAGATTGTTTAAAAACAAGAATAGGCGAAACATATAAGAAACATAGTAAAAGGATTCGATAAACATAGTAGGTGTATCTTACCAAACATTTCAAATTGGTGGTACATTAATTGTTGATGATCCGAGTCTTACTTACTTTTTATGGGATCGAGATGGTAAAATCCCCATTGGAGGACGGGGGGCTCGGATTTGGTTAATGAGATTTCCAAAAAAAGAGACGTTTTGGATTTATGAACTAAATTCCTTGCAACCATTTGGGTTAAATGTCGATATAGATTTGAATTGTTTTCTCACAAATTTTTAATTTTTATGCTATTTTAGAGTATTCTGTTTGGTATATAGGCAATTGTTTTAAAGATGAACATATGGGACATTGTATGCTATTTTGTAAAGTTCTGTAATGGTTCTTTGTACTTTTACTTAGAGTCTTTCCCTGTTTTTATTGTGTTTTTAAAGTGTTTATTGGGTCCCTTTAATGTTGCCTTTTTCGTAACTTTCTCGTTTTAGAGGGTACGGTGCTGGGTTCGTTATTGTATTCCATCTTAATGTTATTTAGGGATTTATTATTGTTTTTTATAATTTTTTATTTTTATTTTTGTTCTCTTTGTGTTATTTAAAGTTTTTTTGTTTTGTTGTGTGAAATGTTAAATATTTTGGATTCATTTTATATCCTTTGGGGTTGACTCCTGTCGTCGATGGGGGGCGGCTTCTTGCTTTGCTTGATTCCCCTTTGATAGTCAGCTTCTGTTCGTTTTCCTGTTGTAGTGAATACTTTTAAGGAGGTTGAGACGAATCGTCTCAACATCTATCACAGCTCCGTGTGAACGAGGACCGTCGAATGACGAAACGGTTTATTAGGGCGGGGGGCTTGATTGACTTGTTGACGTTATTGCGTTTCTTGGATGGAGCCAGGCTATCCTGTTACTGCGTATGTGCCTGAGGGGTAGCCAAGGCTCGTTTATGTGTATGTGTCTGTTATGCTGTTGTTGCTTACAGGTGCTCGGCTGGGACACCTCTTGAGTAAGGGGTGACAAGGGGGGGGAGGTTTACCTAATAAAGGAGCTTGGTTTGGTTTAGGCCGTTTGCACTATGATAGTCTTTCTGTTTATTCGGCCGAGTGAGGCTTGGCATTTCCCCCTATGGTTACGTGTGTGAGAGGTGGTCCCTTTATGGGGGGTGCATTGGAGGGAAGAAGTGGATTTTCGGACAGTTTAGTGGTAATGGGGGGAACATTACAAAGTTTTTAGATTCCTGTTTTTCGATCGGATGGGGGTGACGGTGGGGTGCTGGGAGAGTGGGCGGTTTCTGAAGATAAAATATTTTATGGATGATCTGCCATTATATTATCAAGGTTTTTTTGGTGTTATTGTTTATTCGGGGAGGGGTAGTATTAGTGGGCCGAGACACTTTTTCTGCACAAAAGTTTTTTTGCACCCTAGGGTAAAATTTTTTTTTTTTTTATTTTTATATATTTTTTTGTGGTATTGCATATATATATTTTTTTTTTCTGGACTTATGATTTGATGGTTTCTTCATATATATTTATATATATTTTATACACATTTACTAGTGCAAATTATTTATTTATTGGTACACTTTATATATGGTGATTTTTTGCAGCTGGTACATTATTAGTAAGTTATATAATTTTGACCATAGGCGCTATTATTAATTTTTTCTTATATTATAGAGAAGCGCTCACTACCACTATTTTATTTTCCACCATAATTTGCAAAATAAATTCTTTCCAGATCAGCCAATGTGATTGTCTGGATTTGTTTTCTCATTTTGTCTCTCTCATAGTTGAGGTCTACCTGTTAGGAATGGACTGGCCAGCAATGGTGGGACTCACCTGCCTTTTGATCTGCAGTACCAGGGCTGGCCAGCGGGTGCTCCCAGCAATCAGAGACTCAACCTTTCAGCCAGCTAACACCTGGAACTGATGATGCTGGGGTATTTAAGGGATGGCCAGACTTGACTTGCAGACTCTGCCTTGGTGTTGTGTTTGTCCTGGGCCCTGTATCTGTCCTGCATCCTGTTTTCTGTTCCTTTGCTGACTTCTGCTCTGATCCTGGCTTGTGTGACCCTGACCATTCCTCTGTCTGACCCTCTGTACTACGCTGCTTGCTACCTGTTCTGATCCCTGGCTTGTGACCCGGACCATCCCTCTGTCTGACCCTCTGTACTATGCTGCTTGCTTACCTGCTGAACCTGGCCTGTGACCCCGACTATTCTCCGCTTGCTCCCCCTGTACCTACCTGCCCAATTGATATTGACCCGGCCTGCCTGACGACGCTTGCTTGTGTATATACTGTTATCTGTGGGGTGGGTGGTTTGGTTTGTTTGCACTGTATTATGTTTTAGTATTGCACTGCGTTTATGTTTGTACTGTTAGTGTTAATAAATTATATTGTTTATAACATATCTGAGGTCTCTGCGTTTCCCTGCTTCAGTCACACACCTCTGGTCATACCTGGGAGCCCTGACATTACACCAAGGCCAATCCTGACCAGAAGTGGCTGCACAGGGAAGCCATCTTGGCTTGTTGATGGGAAGGATGGATCTTGATGAGGTTGAGTATTTATCTCTGCTAGTGTTTGATGACAGAGAGTATGCTTATCAGACTCTGAAGGAGTATACCCGGGATGAACTGCTAGAATGTATACGGCTCGCTCATGTTCTAGTAGATCAGGGCACAGTTTTCTCTATGGTGCAGCCATTGATTCAGGTTTGTGTTGAGTTGGTTTCATCTGGTTTCCCCGAATGCAGGGATGAATTTTTTGCCACCATTTAGTGCAGACCAGGTAGAGTCCCTGGTGTGGTTATTAGAGGATGATGTGGGTTACTTTCTGGAGCGTTATTCCACATGTTCACCACAGACACTGAGAGATTGTATAAACGCAGTGCAGCAGTCATTGACCAGACAGGCTTTGTGTAAGCTCAGCTTTGTTCAACCCCTACTGCAGACATGGACAGACTTGTTGCACCCAGCCTCAGTCAGCTTACAAAGACCCAGTCCTGCTTCTAACTCTACTCCTGTATTCCCACCAGCTCCTCCAGTTACAGCCCAGTATACTTGGCTATCTACCGCATGTCAGTACCCTGTTCCCACTCGCTGCACCTACCCTGCCTTTAACCCTGTAAAAAAGCCCTCTGTAGCAACTGCTCCCTCTCCTGTTCCATCCTCCAGCTCTTCTCTGTCTCCAGCTGCTCCATTCGTTTGCAGACCTGCGTTTACTTGCAGTGCTCCAGTAGTTAAAACCAGAAAAAAGCGAAAATTCTTTCCAACCAATACCATCCTGCCAGTATCCAAAAAACCGGTGAGCCTGCCTTCCGTGGTTCAGACTGATGCCTGTACGCGGCCTGAAGCCCCCCTACGATCCGCGGCCTGAAGCCTCTACGCGGCCTGAAGCCTCTACGCGGCCTGAAGCCTCTACGCGGCCTGATGCCTGTACTCGGCCTGATGCCTGTACTCGGCCTGATGCCTGTACTCGGCCTGATGCCTGTACTCGGCCTGATGCCTGTACTCGGCCTGATGCCTGTACTCGGCCTGAAGCCTCTACTCGGCCTGAAGGCTACTCGGCCTGAAGCCTCTACTCGGCCTGATGCCTGCATTCAGCCTGATGCCGCTACTCAGCAGGATGAACTGATCCAGCCCGACGATCCTATTAGGCCAGTTGACTCGATGCCCGCTGTTGATCCAGATGATCCGGTACCTGATCCAGTGCCCGCTGTCGTGCCAATTGACTCAGAGCCCGCTGTCATACCTGGTGACCCGGTGCCCACTGCCTTGCCAGATGACGCGGTGCCCGCTGGCAAGCCAAATGACCTGATGCCTGGTGACCCAGTGCCCGCTGTCATACCTGGTGACCCGATGCCCGCTGTCGAGCCAGACGATCCAATGCCTGGTGACGCGGTGCCCACTGCCTTGCCAGATGACCTGATGCCTGGCGACCAGTGCCCGCTGTCATACCTGGTGACCCGATGCCCGCTGTCGAGCCAGACAATCCGGTACCTGATGCCCCGGTGCTCACTGTCGTGCCTGTTGACTCGGAGCTCACTGCCTTGCCAGATGACGCGGTGCCCGCTGGCAAGCCAAATGACCTGATGCCTGGTGACCCAGTGCCCGCTGTCATACCTGGTGACCCGATGCCCGCTGTCGAGCCAGACGATCCAATGCCTGGTGACGCGGTGCCCACTGCCTTGCCAGATGACCTGATGCCTGGCGACCCAGTGCCCGCTGTCATACCTGGTGACCCGATGCCCGCTGTCGAGCCAGACAATCCGGTACCTGATGCCCCGGTGCTCACTGTCGTGCCTGTTGACTCGGAGCTCACTGCCTTGCCAGATGACGCGGTGCCCGCTGTCGAGCCAAATGACCTGATGCCTGGTGACCCAGTGCCCGCTGTCCAGTCAGACGATCCAATGTCTGACCCAGTGCCCGCGGTCATACCAGTTGACTCGGAGCCCACTGCCTTGCCAGATGACGCGGTGCCCGCTGTCGAGCCCAAATGACCTGATGCCTGGTGACCCGATGCCCGCTTTCCAGCCAGACGATCCAATGTCTGACCCAGTGCCAGCGGTCATCCCAGTTGACTCGGAGCCCACTGTTGTGCCTGGTGACTCGGTGCCCGCCGCCCCGCCTGGGGGCCCGAGACCTGTCGCCCCCGCCCGGGGGCCCGGTGCCTGTCGCCCCGCCCGGGGGCCCGGTGCCTGTCGCCCCGCCCGGGGGCTGCCCCGGTGCCTGTCGCCCCCGCCCGGGGGCCGGTGCCTGTCGCCCCGCCCCGGGGGCCCGGTGCCTGCCGCTCCGCCCGGGGGCCCGGTGCCTGCCGCTCCGCCTGGTGGTCGCTGCTGCCTGCTGCTTTGCCTGGTAATCCGATGTGCCTCTGCCCGGAGTCCTGCCCGATGTGCCTCTGCCTGGAGTCCTGCCCGATGTGCCTCTGCCCGGTGTGCCTCTGCTCGATGTGCCTCTGCTCGATGTGCCTCTGCCCGGAGTCCAGCCCCGGTGTGCCGCTGCCCCGGAGTCCTGCCCGGTGTGCCAGTCTTTGATATCCCGCCAGTTGCCAGACCCGGGCGGTGGTGGAACATTTTGCCCAGCTAGGACTGTTTGGAGCGTCCTGAGGCCGCTCCTTGAGGGGGGGGGTACTGTTAGGAATGGACTGGCCAGCAATGGTGGGACTCACCTGCCTTTTGATCTGCAGTACCAGGGCTGGCCAGCGGGTGCTCCCAGCAATCAGAGACTCAACCTTTCAGCCAGCTAACACCTGGAACTGATGATGCTGGGGGTATTTAAGGGATGGCCAGACTTGCAGACTCTGCCTTGGTGTTGTGTTTGTCCTGGGCCCTGTATCTGTCCTGCATCCTGTTTTTCTGTTCCTTTGCTGACTTCTCCTGCTCTGATCCTGGCTTGTGACCCTGACCATTCCTCTGTCTGACCCTCTGTACTACGCTGCTGCTTGCTACCTGTTCTGATCCCTGGCTTGTGACCCGGACCATCCCTCTGTCTGACCCTCTGTACTATGCTGCTTGCTACCTGCTGAACCTGGCCTGTGACCCCGACTATTCTCCGCTTGCTCCCCCTGTACCTACCTGCCCAATTGATATTGACCCGGCCTGCCTGACGACGCTTGCTTGTATTTATACTGTTATCTGTGGGTGGTTTGGTTTTGTTTGCACTGTATTATGTTTTAGTATTGCACTGCGTTTATGTTTGTACTGTTAGTGTTAATAAATTATATTGTTTATAACATATCTGAGGTCTGCGTTCCCTGCTTCAGTCACACACCTCTGGTCATACCTGGGAGCCCTGACACTACCTATGATGCCAATTACAGGCCTCTCTCTCATCTTTTTAAGTGGAGAGAACTTGTACAATTGGTGGCTGACTAAATAAATACTTTTTGCCCCACTGTATATAAAGGTATTGATAAGATAGAACGAGTCCAGAGACGGGGGGAATACAAATAGTGATATCAGGAGAGACTTCAGGAACGTAACATGTCCAGTCTGGAGGAGAGAAGGGAAAGGGGAGACATGACTGAAACCTTTACATACAACAAGGGAGTGAATAAGGTTCAGGAGGACAGGATTTTCAATATGAAACCAAAATGAAGAACACGAGGACATGACCTCCAACTAACTGGAGGAAAGTTCACAACTAATCTCAGAAAGTATTATTTTTACTGAAAGAGTTGTTGATACTTGGAACAGGGGCGGACTGACAACTCATGGGGCCCCCAGGGCAATAGGAAATCATGGAGACCACACTCAAACCACACCCAAAAAAGCCTATGAAAGGTACCAGGGGCATCTCATGGGGCCTTCTACTGACCCTGGGCCCTCAGGCAGTGCCTGAGAGCCCTAATGGTCAGTCCACCCATGGTTTTAACCAGTACTGTAAACATAATTATGTTAAAGGTAAAGAGGATTGATTTAGTCAAGGGCGGACTGACAACTCATGGGGCCCCCGGGCAATAAGGAATCATGGGGCCCCCGTGTCCTTGCCCACACTCAAAACACACCCAAAAAAGCCTATAAAAGGTACCAGGAGCATTTCATGGGGCCCCCTACTGACCCCGGGCCCTCGGGCAGTGCCTGAGTGCTTGAATGGTCAGTCCACACCCTGGCTTGGAATAAATTTTCAGTAGAGGTTGTGAGCCTGTGACAAATCACAGAGATCATCACAATAGTACACAATGAATGGCTATGAATGAAAGCCATTCATTGTGTACAGCTGTCATGTGATCACTGTGATTGGTCATAGCAATCACATGGTACTGGGCCGGCCTGGTACAATGATCTGTCATCTGGTGGACATAGCAGGTGACATATCAAGATACAGCAGAGCCACTAGACTTGGAGGGACTTCATATGATGTCCACTCAGGATGGGAGAGATCCCACTCAGCTGTCATTCTGCTATAGGTCTGGTGGGAAGCAGTTAGTTACAGGGGACACTGTACAGGTTCTATATGTAGTCTCGGGGGTGGTCCCTGTGGAAGTCCATGTGTGGACATTTCGACCTATGATAAATGACAGGCTAAACCCACCTGGAGACTTTCTCCACACCTGGAGTGTGCTGAGTTCTTGGAGAACGTCTACACAGTGATTCCAGATTGGCTTTATCACCCCAACGAGCTCGCTCCAGTTCATGGATGTCATCATTATGTTTGGAGGATCTCACCAGTCAGGAGCCTTTCCTGTCCTCCTACATGTTCCCTTCTGAGGATTGTTCTATCCTTCCAAACAAATGTATGAAATCATGGATGAGTCCTCCTTCTATGTGATCTAGAAGATCTTCAATCACAATGTCTTTATGGATGAAGTGGATGGCCCAGTTTATATATTATTTTGTTTTTATCTTGTGTTCTGTGTCTTTAAGACTTTTCTATCTGTAGTAAAATATATTTTTTAAACAGCTGGTTGCATAAGAGTTAGGTTTATTTTTTCTTCCTTTTTTTAGTTCTTTTTGAACTTTCCTGGTATCCCTGTAAGGTAGATACAATACAGGAATGGTTATTAGGGGACAATTCTCTGGGCTGCAGTTCCTCTGAACTCCACAAGATGGTGATCTCATTTTTCCCCAGACAGGATGTCTCTATGGAATACAGACAGGAAGTGATGTCAGGTACAGGCAGGAACTAGAGAGGAGACGTTGCTGGAAGTGGCAGCAGAGACGGTAATGTTATTTTCTATTTACACCCAGTAACCCCCCGTCATGTCTGTCCTCTTCCTCCATCATCACGTCCGTCCTCTTCCTCCACAGTCACGTCCGTCCTCTTCCTCCACAGTCACGTCCGTCCTCTTCCTCCACAGTCACGTCCGTCCTCTTCCTCCACAGTCACGTCCGTCCTCTTCCTCCACAGTCACGTCCGTCCTCTTCCTCCACAGTCACGTCCGTCCTCTCCCTCCACAGTCACGTCCGTCCTCTCCCTCCACAGTCACGTCCGTCCTCTCCCTCCACAGTCACGTCCGTCCTCTCCCTCCACAGTCACGTCCGTCCTCTCCCTCCACAGTCACGTCCGTCCTCTTCCTCCACAGTCACGTCCGTCCTCTTCCTCCACAGTCACGTCCGTCCTCTTCCTCCACAGTCACGTCCGTCCTCTTCCTCCACAGTCACGTCCGTCCTCTTCCTCCAGAGTCACGTCCGTCCTCTTCCTCCAGAGTCACGTCCGTCCTCTTCCTCCAGAGTCACGTCCGTCCTCTTCCTCCAGAGTCACGTCCGTCCTCTTCCTCCAGAGTCACGTCCGTCCTCTTCCTCCAGAGTCACGTCCGTCCTCTTCCTCCAGAGTCACGTCCGTCCTCTTCCTCCAGAGTCACGTCCGTCCTCTTCCTCCAGAGTCACGTCCGTCCTCTTCCTCCAGAGTCACGTCCGTCCTCTTCCTCCAGAGTCACGTCCGTCCTCTTCCTCCAGAGTCTTGTCCGTCCTCTTCCTCC